TCACTACGACACAATCGCACTCCGACATGCGGACTCTGAACAATTGAATCGCTCGAAGATTTGACTAGCGATCGATCCTCGAGTCCGTCCAACTTTCTGCCCGCTCGGCCACGAACCCCCGTCGCAGAGGTTCCTCACAAAATTCAACACACTTAATCAACAGTCGATATCCAGCGAGTCTCAGTCACTTGAAGGATCAGACGGCCGAGCGACCGACCGACACTTCGTTCGTATTCACTGAAGATGGTGCTAATGCCGGCGACTGGTGCCGCGCATGGTGTTCGTCGCTGGCGCACGGGTGAGAGGATTTCGCTTTCGGGAAGGGAGGATTCCATTCGGAGAGAAGGAGGCCTATCATCGATGCTCGATGCCCGCTGCTTGCGGGGACTGGATACATCCGAACAGGTGGATCTCAACAACAACACCTGCACCCTCTTGCCGTACTAATTATCCCCTGCTAAGTCGAGTTATGTTTAGACTTCGGAACCGAGAATCGGTGGCAGCATCTGGAAGCCGAGACCGACACGCGCCGCCCTTAACAGCCGTCGAAAAAAATACGAAAATTTCGAAAAAGCGAAATCGAGTTGGCGCGCTTTTCTGGCTCATGTAGAATCGTGTCCCAGAACACCCTTTTCATGATCAGCCGCGTGATAAGGATCTTCTGGTGAGAGTTTTGAAGAATTCGGGACTAAGCGAGCTAGCGAAGTAGTTGAGGTGGGTTCGTGCTTGAGATCGAGGAGCGGAAGAGCTGACTTCGTGGTCCATGCTCGAAGCCAGGAAGCGCTGGAAATGATTGCGAATCAGAGCACGCGGCTCCACAGAAACCGAAAACAATTTGGTAGTAGCGCCTGATGATAGCATATTACTCTCAGAGACCTCACAACTCCCGAGGAGGCTACGCTGCTGAGAGAAACGAATCGAGATGCGCGAACGAGAGTCGAAGAGTTGACCCAGAGCGAAAGTTCCCGTACGGCGCGGAGAGGCTGGAAGGGATTTGAAACGTATCATAATGTCGGCCAATCATGCCGGTCGAGAACCTGAGCCCGACTCACTTTCTACCTGAGTAGTCTCGAGACATTCTTGATCTCTGTTATGCGTGTACCCGCGTGAGACGAGCTCTTGCGGTTTAAAATGACTTGGCGCTTAATGGGGCTTTTCAGCGGAACTTAGAAGCATTCCGTCTCGGAATTATGCTCATTCCACCCGTGAACGGACTCGCTTCAACGTGAAACATTCAACGCGTCGGGCTCGCTTCGCGCATACTCGAGAAGGGCTGACTTTTAGATTTGGCGTCAGGGTTTCTGCAGCGAGGCTTCCTCGGTGCCCCGTCATGTTCCGGCCGAGTCGAACGCACCGCCACATGTTTCGCACTGACACTGAGTTGGCCTGAGACTTTCCGGGATCGGAAACTTCCAGTAAGTCATGGCGGAGGAGTGATGCACCAGTCTGTGTGTGCGTCATCATACAGCGTGAAGTTCCTCCTCCGTTGATGGAGCAAAATGCTTCTCTTCAAGAGAAAAATGTCCGAGGAGACCGCCGGCGCTGTCGGTGGGCTTTGAGACCGTCGGCGTCGGGAGGCTCACGGGAGATCCGGCGAGAATCATTTGGATCGGGACGACTCTGCATCCAGTTATTATGCGTGCCCATGACTTAGTCGAGAAGGACCCGTATTTGAAACGATCAGCCGGCATGAATTAGATTAGGTTTCGGTGATAATCATTTTCACCTCTATGTGGCCCTAGAAAGGAGTTTGCTCTTGTGACCAAAACTCGCTTTTCCTTTAATTGCCCCGCAGGATATATTCGGCCGATATCGATCCGCAGAAACTTCCGCAAGCTTCTCATGACGATCGCTGGAGAGAATATCGGGAGTTTCGACCGGTGCGCTCGTTGGGATCGCTCTGTTGGCTTTTTCGATAGACGGAGTGGCTCTCGGAAGGACTATCTGAAGTTGCGAAGCGTGCCCACTAAGAACTCAGAACCAGGGTTATGTGACGGCACTGAAGCGCCACGAACAGCGGGTTTCGAATTCCAATCGTAGATGTTGGAATGCAGGGTACAGACACTACTGGATGCGGAGAACCCCCACCCAAAACTCTAGAGACTCGAGGTCTCGAGCGTCCTTGTCCCCGGAATCGTCCCCGATCGCGTCCATGACTCGAGGATTGCCAGAAGCTGTGGAATCGCCTTCAGTCACGGAGCATATGCCTCCATTCCTCGCGAAAACTATTGCTTCGAGGAAGTTTCTGAAGGGAGCTCGGTGTCGATGGGAGACCTTGCTTCGAATTATCTGTATATATATATATATTTGTATTGAATAATTAACTAACATCATCATTCATTGAAATAATAGAATGATCTCCCCGGGCGAGATCTAATGCCAACATGAGAGCATTCCTCGAATATCGCTTGCGTCGATTCTCCAGCTAGGGTAGGGTATGCATTGGCTGGATCTTCGGCGGGTCTGTAGCGGGGAAGGAATAGCTCAGACGGCGGCGGCTCTTTGCTCAAGAGCTGGCATTTTACGCTTTGATTCGACCGCTGACGAAATCCTGCCGCTCCGATAGACGGAGCCGATCGCTCGCCGCGGAAGAGTTCACTTATCGAGAGAAGAAGTCGATATCCAATATAGAAGACCTTCGCGAAATGTGATTCCTTTCCCCGCACTATGATCGCGGTGGAATCCGGCGTGGCTGTGGACGCCGAGGAGCCTTTGAGAGGATCGAGAACGGTGCATCGATGTTCTGAGAACCAATCCTCCTCGCGTGGTTCGATATCTCTCTCGTTCGCGAGAATGAAAAGGCCTCTAGAAGTAACATCCATCAGCTGTGAACCAGGAAGGACCGAGATTCCTTCCTGGCAAAACGAGCGTAAACAGCTGAGAAACTAAATATTTCCTCCCTACTCCATTGAGATATCCGAAAGGTGAAATGTGTTCTGCGAGCTCTTGAGGAAGCAATCGTGCTCTCGTATTGCTTTAGAGTGAACGACGCTTGACTTTCTCCTCAAGCAGTCTACCACCCTTGCGTTATATTCTCGAGGATAATGATATCGGAACAGTGTCGTCGCAGACAGCCGAAGTGCCATCGCTCATTTCCTAACCCCGACGGTCCGGACTAGTCTTCGGTCTAGACGTTCGATTATTCGTTCTCCTCACTCAGATCCTCGGCCTCCCGCCTCGTGATTGGGACGAACACTTAACGTGGGGAACATTCCCGCTCCGTGCCATTGAGAAATACAGCAGCTAGGCATACCAGTTGAGGTCAGAACCGGCTTGAGTTGGTGTGTGTGAGCGACATTTCGCGAACAACAGCATCTGAAAGGTTACATCAGCGGTGAAAGTCCGCAGGGAGTGATCGGCTCAATCGCTTGGCGCCGACCGCGAAGCGGACTCTATTAGGATCAGCGTGGGGCTACGTCAGTGCTCAGCTATTTACGGAATGAAGTTTCGGGAGGACGTGGACATTCCTGCTGTGACTCTGTCTCAAACCTCGTAAGTTTCTCATTCTTTGTCGCATTCTTGTAATGACATCTGAGCCGCGAAGCCGAAATTCCTCTGAAATACGTAGTGGAGGATGACTCAGCGCCGCAGTCTCGAGACTCTGGGTTCATTTGCCGCCCTCGAGTCTCTGGATGCCTTCGAAGATTGCGTGCTCGTGTTCCATGAGATTATCATCGAATTGAGTATTGGGGAATCGGACATTGTGTCGTGTTCACTGGATATCGGAGCTCTGCTTCCCTCTGCTTCGTCCAGGTTCGAACTTGTTTCATGCAAATTTTGGCGACATCTTTCAATCTGTCTGAACGGTGTCGGTTTTCCAAACGAAGAGATTTCCAGGATATTGTTTCGCTCTCTGCTCCACAGACAACAAGCGGCCAGGAAATAGCTGATGAGCGAAGGACCGAGCAGTCGCTCCTGCCTGGATTGGACATTCATTCGTTTCCCCCATTTGCTACCTGGAAAATAATAATAAAAATACCCATATGCTAGGTAATCGGAGAAATCCCACCCGTTTCCCCTGGATCCCCTTTGCTTTCCCAGGAGGGTGGATCCAGGGGCCTATAGAGAAGAATCCCGAATCTCTGGAGTCCCTGCATGAGTGCATCGTTCGAAGCGCACGGAGCCGGTAGATACGTAGCACTCGGAGACGGCTCGCAGGAGGAATCTCGTTCCATAACAGATTGAGTGTTGGAGCCCATTGCTCCTTGTGGAGGAGACTGGCCCGAGAACCTGATAGTTGAGCCCATCACGATGCCCAGACGCCCCGATACCGTGCTTGCTGGCGTTCCTCCGGGCTATTGAGTTGAACTGCTCGACTTGACTTCACCCCTTGTTTGGTTGGCCTCCTTGGTAGCCCACTCAATACTCATATCAATATATCTACTCGAATCGCGGAACTTACATCCCGCGATTCCCGATCTGCGGGAATCCGATTTTCAGCTCAAAGGTTCTCGCTTCTCGCCTACTTCTCGCAATGGGCTAAACATCATACATACATACATGCATTCATGCATGCATGGGAGCAGGCAGGCGCACCGGCCGCAACCCCGGGGCTTCAGAGCACACCTTAATCGATATGCGCGAGGATCGTCGGAACGAGGGAGTCCGCCAGTTATAGGCAATGTTATGTTCTATATATAATTCTATACCTATATAACTTAACCAAATATGTTATGTTATACAGTAAAAGCTCGCTATAACGACCCCAATTACAACGAATTTCTCGGTACAACGAACAAGGAATTTCTCCTGCTTCGGCCAGCTCGCCATAGGGATAGTGTTGAGCGGCATTCGTCACAGCGAAAACTCGGTACAACGAATCAGTTTCGTCGGTCCCTTCATGTTCGTAGTAACGAGCTTTTACTGTATCACGTTTGGAGCACAGATCGAGCTTCGTGCGCACTGCGCACTCATCCGCATCGTTGTTCATGCGGGATGGATTCGAATTCGGCGCTTTTCTCGGCAACAGCTGGATGTAAACAAGATGGATGCGGCGCTTAGCAGACAGTTTTCGGTGACCAGCAACAATTCTGCGACTCATCTGTAATCGTTGATTACGAGCATTGAAATTCTTCGCCGGAAATCCTCGGCTCTGAGTTCAGGCAATCATGTCACTCTGTCCTGACCTTCCCCGTCCGGGTTTCTCGTTCGACAACTGCAAGAGGTAAGTCAACTATTATTTTTCTCGGGGAAATCATGCCGGTAAGTGACACTGCTCGAGAACTGTTGTTGTTCTCGATTGGTTCTGAAATTCAACGACTCTAAACTCCGAAGACAAGTCCCGGTGACTCCAGCACGATTTTTCTTCAGGAATGCGGCTCTCGAATCGAGAGGCTACAAGTCGAAAGGTTTCGTGAAAACTGGCACGACCATCGTAGGTGAGCATTGTGGTCACGGTATCCAGCCCGATTCAGAATCTCTCCACGTAATCTTTATACTATCTACCGATGTATCGACGGCGAACCTCGAGGGGGGAACCTCTAAGGCGACAAACCTTACGTATGCACATCCATCATACATCACAAAGGAATAGTTCACGAGACCTTTATTTCCGACCCCAGGTGTATGCTACAAGGATGGAGTGGTTCTCGGAGCCGACTCGAGGGCTACCGGAGGGAACATAGTCGCCGATAAATTCTGCGACAAACTGCACAAAATGTCAAATAAAATCTTGTGAGTGTCTGTATTCAGATTCTCGGTCCAGATCGTAGTCGGCAGATCGCTCTCTGATCTCTTTCGATGATTTCGCGTCCCTCTTCCCGGCGGAACGAATGATGACATGACATGAATTCACAGTTGTGCTGGAGCCGGAACCGCATCCGATTGCGACAAGGTCACGGAAATGATTCGGGGGCAGATCGCTCTCCTCGAATTGAACAGTGGTCGCGATGTACGAGTGGCTTCGGTGGTTCGCATCATCAAACAATATTTATACAGATATCAAGGTGTGTGCACTCACTCAGTGATTTGTGTCCGAATGAGTGAATGATATATTATAATTACTCCACTCGCTCACCGTCGATTCTTCACCGACTCAGGACACATCGGATGCGCTCTGATCATCGGAGGTTACGATGCCACCGGATGTCATCTTCATTCCATCGCCCCTCACGGTTCCTCAATGGAACTCCCGTACCTGACCATGGGGTCCGGTTCTCTGGCCGCTACGGCAGTGCTGGAAAGTCGATGGAAGCCCGATTTGGGTGAGTATTTCAGATTACGAGTGCGGGATGTTTGGACGGAAGATGGATGCGATTTTCTCCTAAATTATCTGTGCCGAGAAAACATTTCTCTAGAAAATACCCTCTGCTTGATTCGAGTACACAATCCTAGTCCGTTCCGCCGAACCAGTAGGGTCCATCCCCAGCTGGAGAAAATCGCCGTCGCTGATACATCACGGTGTTTCGACGATCATTGTGCCCCTTTCTCATCGTAACTATTCAGCATGCCGCATAATTCATTCACAATCGGAAGCAGGCCAATTGTTTTTTCTCCGAAGAAGCCTCGCTAGTGCGGTTTCCGAGGAGAGGGGAGAGGAGGAGCGGAGTATGAAAATCATGCAGGCGTGGCGACTTGGCCCCCCCTCTCCACGCGCATGCCTCGGCTTAAGATAGTTCTTCAAAACAAATCCTAATCGAGATAACCCCGGGCTTCACTCTGGGGGTTACCGTCAGTAAAACTTTCCCTGTGCGTGATAGAGCTTCGAGACAAGGGTCTCCATCGACGGTGATTGCGAATCCAGCCACCCTGGCAATAACGCGAATTACTCTCATGCAGATCTTGAAGCAACGAAAAAGCTGGTCCGTGACGCCACAGCTGCTGGAATTCTCAATGACCTGGGATCTGGAAGCTCCGTGAACATGGTCGTTCTTACTAAGAAAGGCAACGAAACTTTCTATCCCTACGACATCGTTTGCGCGAAGGGCGTGCGCTCGGGGTTGTATGATTTCCCTAGTGGGACAACTAAAGTCCTCAGGACCAAGGTCAGTATCTCCGGATTTTTCCTGAACTTTCGGAGCGCCGTCCAAGTTGGGCCGTTCGCACGCTGCATAGAGCGCAATTCTAAATCTTTCTGTGATTCAACAGGTGATTCCCTACGAAATCGAGAAGGTTGAGGTCAGGGGAGCGTCTGAAGAAGACGAACCGATGGATATCTGAATAAAGTCGGCGTTGAGATCACGTTTCTTATACTACTCGGGCGCGAGCTTCGTGTAATTCAATTATTCCTCTGACCGAGTTATGAAGTGGACTAGCGAGAAGGACAGCTAGCCTCTCTCATCAGACATGGATAAAGCTCTTCCTGAATCTATCCGATGTTGATTCAGGAGATCTCATGCCTCATGGATCGTTGGAACTTTTCCTGGACTCACTCGGGGAAGGAGTAGAACCTCGGAGAACAGCTCCGACTCCACACAATCAACAATGGAGATCCCGAGACCGAGGGTCACTGCGCTGAATCAGGTCCGCTGTCAGCGTTTGGCCCGAAGGAAACAGCTTCCATTCTCACAGTGTCCTTTGCCGAGATAATATGCGGTATCTTTCGACGCGGTTTGCGGTGTCGCTCCGCCGCCGTTTTCCAAAAATAACTGAGGCAAGCAGGTAGGCCGGTCGGCAGGCTTGCTGGCTGGCGGGCAGGCAGGCTGGTCGTCAGTGCCGTCGTTCGGTGACGACGGTACCACGATGAGAAGCCGTTCTCCTCTCCTATAGATCGCGGTGGCGCTTTTGGCACAATTTACACACAAACACGCACACACACACACGCGAGAGCACACAACCAAGCACAGCAACTGCTTGCCTGTTGGGCTTTCTCAGCTTCTTCAACGCATAGATCGTAACGCATGGATCGATAAACTCTCTGATGTCCAGTGAGTTTGCTCAAGACTTTTTCTCCTGAATCTGGGGTCGACGAGACTCTGCGGGTAGAGGTCCAGAGAGGTCTGATGTTGTGTCTGCCGTCGCGAGTTGATTGATTCCCCGTCCGGAGGTCGGTCGGTCCCTCGGCCAGAGTCCATCCGGGTTACTGTGGAGAGCTGATATTTTTCATTGCTCTTCTTCTGGTCAACTCTCTCCAAACCCGACGGCGCTAACCGGCGGACGTAGGTTTTTGCGGATTAGTGACTCGACGGACAGTGAAAGAAATGTGGCCCAGGGCACCATCTACAGGAGCTGCAGGTGATAAAAGTTCGTGAAGTGATCCGACAACAAGTGTTGAGCGTGGGATCATCGTAAGTTGAGAGGTAGAGACCCTTCTGATTCGACGTGGGAGCTCCCTCCGACACCGAGGTCGAGGGTCTTTGTGCACTGGCCGAGTGGGAGCGAGCGACCGACTGGCTGACTGACTGAGTGAGTGCGTGATTGAGAATCGGTCGTACGGCTATTCGCTCGGATCGACTCTTTGTCCCACCGTCGGACTGCCATCTGATAAGGCGATTTCGGAACAGATGTGTGTCTTCGCTTCTAGACTCGTGCCGACTCACGATTCCGAAGAGCTCGAACAACTTGCGGTGCAAAGTCCGCGAGGCATCTACTGCCTGGAGATTGTATCCCGTCTGGCCGCTCGTCTGTCGCTGTCGATCGTTTCGTACGCCCAGTGTTTCTGTACAACACAACAGAGCAGTAATTCACTCGCGTCTTGGTCCGGTCAGCAAGTTGTCTTAAGCGAGACCGATATCGCTGAAGAAGTAGATTAATTCCTTCACTGACGGTCTGAGCGGTCGGTCGGGTGCCTGGAAGACTTCGCTGGAGAGTACTTTCGCTGAGGCCGTTCGGTACGATTCCTGGAACTCCGGGAACAAATCCATATCCGATTCGATTCGCTCGCCGAATCGCTGTGTTGCCTCATCGATCATTTGTATAATTAACCAATTTAAAGAGCAATCTGGATCTTCTAATGCCTGTGAATTCGTCCGCCTGTTGTCTCTAGCGATTTGAGTGGCTCGGCCGACACCGCCGCTGCTCTTGTAGACTGCTCAGCTTGTCTCCAGCCAGTGGTAAACAACGGTGCTAAGCGCAGTTCAACCAAGGATTCTGTTCATTTTGAATTCGCGTGGTTCGGCAGTATCGAAGAATGGCTCTCATCGAAAGGAGATCGATACGGTATACTGTTAACGGCGTTTGAGTTTTCCCTCCGTTGTCTACTCATGACGAGACCCGGTGAGGGTCAGTCTACGACGGATTCGGAGTGCCGCTCTTATTCGGATTTCCGGAGAAGACGTACGGGACCGCCTGTGCGACTTCAGACGACATCAATGGAGCGGACTAACTACGAGCGAACGGTCACACCGTTAGACTAGGTATACGCTTGCGTTGGGGAGCCGACATTCGACGCCGAGAAAGACAAAACTTAGCCAACCGCTGCGCTGCCTCCGCTAAGCGTCGCATCGTTGTGAGCGTGGTGATCGGAATAATTTGCCGCTGATTTCCGGCGATTGCGTTTCGCCTGCCGAGGACAACATGCAGCGAGGCGTCATCGCATCCATTTTGATACGAACGTTCCATTCCGCCACAAGCAAGCGTGGAAACAACTTGCTCTCCACTCATTCACCTACCCCACAGAGAGGTCGCTTTCCGGATTTTTCCGAGAGGAACTGTGTCTCGGCGGCGCGTCCGATTGAGTATTGAGATATTCCTTCTCCGAATCTGTACGGAACCTGTTGCGCTTTCTGCCGACGACCTCGTGGTCGTCCGACGTAGCCTCCGAAGGCCGCGATGAGTGTTGTCGTCATATACCATGACAGTCCTGCATAAATAGAGTTTCGTCCGCTGGCGGATGAAAGCCGAAAAGTATGTCAGGATCGACTCTCTTATGATAGATTCGGAACTCGAGAGGGAGTTCGCGATTCATGAGCTTCGGTGTCGTTTGATCATTATGGGTCCGCTCCCCAGGGAGCAGGATGGGGCGATTCCCGCCAGACAAGACGACGATCTGTCGAATGAATACGCCATGGATCAGCGAGTCTGTATGTATATGAGGGTGAGGGTGTATTAGAGAATAGAAATCATCGAGCAGGTGTCGAATCTGATGATAATACACGTAAACCATGGCCGAATGCCTCATCCATGGAGAGAACGTATCTCTTACCGAACTCCATGGTCGCTGGGTGCGATCGCTCGGCGATGCCTCGCCATGAGCACAGAATCGTCTCAAACCGGACGAATGTGACGACATCGCCGGCGGAAGCGTTACGGATTGAGAGCCAATCGCTCCGAAACCTTTCAACTCGATCTAGGTTTCCCGCTCGGCAAACAACCGAGAGAAAAATGAAAGCTAATAATTGACTCGCTCGCTCATTCCCTCTACTTGAGCCATTTTCTCTGTTCTTGTTCCCTGATTGCAGAAGCCGTATGCTCGAGCTCGGGCTTGGTGTAGACGCCTCATAGTCAACCGGACCACGGTGGACATCGGATCGGTGTGAGTAGAGATTAATTCTTACCGTTGTGTACCACGATTATCTGCATCCCCCTAGTCTAAAGAATTTCGAACTGAGAGTATTGCATGTACACCTCCTGGAGAATGAGAAGAATTCGCGACTCGGTGCTTTCCGAGTCACAAGTTACAGTTGGCAGTATTCAACATTGCCGGTGCTCGGTCTTCTAGATAGATGAACTTTGTATCGAGCTCAAATTAGGAGATTACGTTTGCGAGATCGCTATTTAGAGTCGGTATGATGTTGACAGCTCGGATAAAGATTCCAGGAAAAGCTTTCACAGAAATCACGCGTCCGAATTTACGGCGAGCGCTCCCGTGACGGATGCCCTTCCGCTGTTTCGCATGCTTGCCGATTTGTTCGTGGCGGGATCGCTGTCTCGGTTCTTGAATGATTCTCGGGGTAGTCCTGTTTAAGTGCTCCTCGAGGGTCACGCGAGCTCCCAGGATCTCCCAGCGCTAGCCGTGGCGGATTCCTGAGCTATTGTCCGGGGATCAGGACGAGTCGAAGTCCCAAGTCGAGCGGAATCGGCTGAATCGATCGGAAGAGAGACGAACGGCTACGAAACTCATGCTGGGGGATTCTCGCAGCATACCCTGGCTCTGTGATGCTTCGGTGAATATTCTTTGTCAGAGCGATTATCGTTTGAGGTAGAAAATCGTCGAAGGTAAAATATGCCTAGAACAAGTGAGAAGGAGAAGATCAACCTCCCAATCATCATTCTGATGTCAGGTAACCTATACCACACAATCTCAATGCCTCACTGAGCTTGCCTCAGAAACCACGAGAATCGATTCCGACATGCTCGCCATTCATGTTTTCGGAATGGCCGCCGAGCTCTTCGGCGACAAGGTGACTGACAATAAAGCATCTTACCGACAGTGCGCATTGCATCCCACGAGATTGCGGTATCACCCGACTCTCGCTCGAATGTTCGAACCACGATGACGTCATGATTGTATCAGATATCGAACTTCGCAGATCTCCCCGAGTTTCCTGATTCTCGGTCCGTGGAAGGAGTTACAGAGAATTAGTTCATGGACTTAGATACCGGTGAACCCCGACCGAAAAACGGCGTCCGGAAAGAGTTCCATGAACTCGGATACCTTCATGGTTGAGCTTGAACTGGCGAGGTAATCGCTAGAACAGATACCTAGATGGTCTCGAGCGGATCGATACAGATAATTGAGCTTGTAACAGATAGATTGGAACGACTAAAACAAAACACATGCGATAGCGGTAGCTGGGCCTTGCTCCTCTCTTCGGAAGATAACTCTTCGGGCGAGGGAACGAGAAGAAAGTTCAGATCTGAGCACCGAGATAGCTTCGGAATATCGCTCAAAAAGAGACCGCGAGCTCCTTTCGGAGTACTCGATGCTTCGACGCGACTCGTGCGGAAGATCTCGAGGGCTCGCTTTAGGTTTTTCTATAAAGCTGTCTCTTCGGCCGCAGTCTCTTTCGAGCGTCTTCAGTAGTTCAGCGATATCCGGGTGAAACTCGACGGAGTCGAAGTTCCCGAAGCATACGATCGATACAGACTACCGGATTGATCCACTCTCCGAATTCCAGTCTTTTTTCCGGTGTTGAGTAATCGCGGGTCTGATCATGGACACTTCTGAGCCCGACAACTCAGCGCTGGGACTCCCGATCCTGGACATGGGGACGGATCCTCTGACCATCATTCAGAGACAGCAGCAAACAATCGCGGTAAGTAGACTAGTCCCGCGTCGAGTTCCGCTCCGCTCGAGGTCGTTGACGTCCGCGCGCTCGTCCAGAGAAAAAGAACGCTCTTCGAATCGAGATCGCCGATGCACTAGTGCTTCTCATATTCGCAGCATTGAATTGCGTGCCAGCCTATCTGTGCCTCCCGCATCTCAAGTGACACGATTTAGCGCGCTCTGCGGTCGTTTGTCCGCAAAGCACTTGTCGTATCCTCGTGTGATCTCCCTCTCTACCCTCATAAGCTAAACCGAACTCAATTCCGAAATCGCTTTTTTTCACAGGATCTGAAGTTACTTCTGCAGCAGAGCAGCAAAGAAATCCAGGAGTTGCGTTCGCAACTCGATAAGTACCAGAGTGTACTGATACCTTATTCGAGGCGGTGAGTAAACACCTGGAGCTCCTTATACATCTTCGCCTTCTCCGCGTGATTCGGATTCCCGCAATCCGCGTCGGATCGAAGCGATTCTCACGCGTGGGACTAGGAGTTTCGGCACATCAATCGTGTGCCGAGTAGAGCATTCTCATTGGCGATCCAGTGGCGTTGACTCGAATTCTGAATTGTTCCCTAGATATTCTCGTCGCCAGCGAAAACGTCAACAAGGCATCTCGGCCGAGCCCCAGAGCGTAATATCTGTTGCGGACATCAATGTTACGTTCCAAAAACATCCGAAGAGCAAGGAGTAAGTGTTGACGACCACGAGAGGTATTCCTCTCGAGCTTGGCACCCGTGATCGATCATTTGTTGCGTATGGGTTTCCAACTCCAACCTATTCGACTCCTTCCACCCCGCTTTCAGAGTCCGCGATCTAATTCAGAACGCCATACTCGAGAACGACTTCATGAAAAACTTGGACACAGCTCAAATCGAACAGATCACCGACTGCATGTCTCCGTGCCAATATCCGAAAGGTGAGCTTACACGTTGCCCTTGAATGCAGAGTGCGGTCAGATGGGGAAGAAAACACGCTGCCCTTGATGCGGGAATGAATGCAGAGTGGGTCGGACGGGGAAGAGAACACGTTTAATGAGCGATGTCGCGCTGTTGATTGGCTTCGCTAGTCACGCTCCGATAGTTGGAGATCCAATCGAATGGAAACGTATACTGGTTGGTTCTCACAGTTTCTCGCGAGTTATGATTCATTCGAGTCGACGCCGCCATTTTCAAGCCGTCTCATCTTTTCGTCTCCTGGACGCTGCTTTTCTGTAAGCAAAAAGAATGTGGCACGGTAGTTTACACGCGCAATTCTCGGCGGTCGAGAGCGACGAGTCGCCTTGGATCGCTGCTCCTTGCTAAAAATAGAATAAGCGGACTTGCCGTTTAGTTGTCTAATCTATCTGAGATGTCTTGTCATCTTGACATACGCAGCGATATCATTGCGAGCCCTGTGACAGGCGTCCCCGTGGAATATCTGTATCATGGCGCAGAGCAAAAAACAAGCTCACTTGGAATTCTCGATCTTGCCGAGACAAAGATCAATTTTTCTCATCCACGTAATATTGTATGGGCTCCGTTGGAACTGACCGACAGCATTGAATTCGGGAGGAAAAGGAACGAGGATCATGGAGTCCAACCGTTGGATGGAGTCAAGACGATTCGTGCTCGAAATACTCATTCAAGAGAAAGAGCGATATCAAGCGGTTGAATATTAGGATCACTGTGTCACAGTGCGAGCTCCTAATCTATCCTCGACCCTCCACGTGGACTTTCATTCGATGACCTTCATCTCGTTCAATTTTCAGACCAACTCATCATCAAGGAAGGTGATGCTGGAAGCGTTGTTTATGTCATCCAAGGTGAGTGATGAATGCTCTCACGATGAGCGGCGGACAGATGCACGATAGCTCGCTGAGTCCATGGTCTACGATGCTCCCCGATAATCCGGAGCTCCGTCGCTCCCGACGACTCTGAATTGATGTCGCTCACACCCGTAACCGGAGAAGGCAAACCATCGATCCTATGTCTCGCGCAGCCGAGATACCCAGCCATTGGAAGTTTATATTAAGACGGAGAGTTCTGCTCCTAGCGCAGTAACTGCGATTAGAAGCCTACTCGAGAAGAGTCAGAGAAGGCTAGCTTATCAGCAGAGGAACCGCGGGTGTGAGCGAAAACAAAAACAGTACCACTGAGCCTGTGCTACTCGAGCAATCGACTTCGAAACCAGCTATCGAAAACTCTACGATGCGACCGGCTGAGCCACGGCTGTTCCTGGCTTACGTCGAGCGCTTCGCGAGGTGATTGAGTCATCGCTCCGGTCGAGTGCGAATTCTACTCGATCCCGGACCGTTGTCTATGAGGAAACGAGCTTAAAGAGCGTTAACGCTGCCTTATCTGTAGCACCAAGGACAATTTGATCCTACAAAGCGCACCAAGCCCTTGCTCCCTCCGAACCTCCCGAAAGATCAGAAGGCGGACCTGACCGCCTCTTAGCCGAAAAGCGGTTGCTGTACTTCTGCAAGGCTGCGCTATTCGCGCCGAATACGCGAATACGTCTAGGCTATCCGGCCCTCACCCTTTCGATGATGCCGTAACCGAGAGAACCTCGCGTCCCCATCCATCGCGGTAATCTCTCACGAAACAAACGACCACGATGCGAACAAGCTTGCGAATGGGACGCTTGGCGGGGATGACTAATTCCTTCAACGCGGCTACCCCGATATTTGGGCAAGTGCGTCTTGGCTCCTAGTGCGGCCGACCTTCTAATGCGAAGTGTGACTGCGGAGCGAATATCATGTCCCATGGGCCCATGGGTTGCCTCCCTGACCATTATCTCTCGGAGCTTTTTTTCCCAAATCGAGGATCCATCCTCTTCGAAGGTGGATGCCGAGGATTGACAGGTCTGCTAGATACTCTTTCCGAAGCGATGTACATATATCCTCGTGCTCCTCGATCCGGTCCTACAACTGCTCCCTCTAAATCTAAATTCGTGTGAATCTCTTCCGCAATCAAGATCAATCGAATAGTTTTGCGGGTCTTAGGTTTCCCCGTTAACAGCGGATTGTTGTCTCCGTTGGACTTTGACAGAGTCCGTTCTGCCGACGCCAAGGGCACCCAATCCATTCGCGGAAGAGCCAGTCGGACTGGTGTTGTCACCCTGCAGTGACTACTGTGCCCATCGATGGTAGTCTCCCTCGATCGAGTGAAGCTGTGATCGACGGCGCCGTCACTGGCAGTGAGCGAGGCCGAGATCAGAGGGGTGGTGCGCCCTCACGACGAAACCCCTGTTTCAACCGCTCCGCGATCAAATGTTAGGTCTTATGAACACCTCGACAGGCTCGATTCAGTTTTCTCGTAGGTGGATGCTCTCGGCGAAACCTCTCAAAGTTCCTCTCGAAGACCCGGTTCTACTTCAGAGCCATGCTCTTCTGGCGAGACCAGTATGGTTCGTTGATTATCCCTTCCCTCCGACCGACCGTGTGGAGGTAGATTCTGCCCACGAATCAGACGCTCTTCTGCGATGATATTCATTGCGGAGATCAGAAAACCGTCGCTCTGCCTACCGGGAGATCGATTCTCGGATTCCCTCGTTTCCCTCGCGGTGCCGGGCTGTGTTGACATCGCCGATATTTTCGAGCATAAGATAATCCCTCAATTCGATTTTCAGAGGGACGCCTGGAGGTGACGAAGGAAGGAAGATTTCTCAGCCACATGGGAGTCGGAAAGGTAGGTTTCTCGAACTCCACTGCATACGAACATGTCTCATTGGATCATTGTCGGACCACGCTCGAGGTCAATCCATGGAATCTTCTTCCAGCTTTTCGGGGAGCTCGCGATTCTCTACAACTGTACGCGGACGGCCACTGTTAAAGGTACTGTACATTTCCTCTGACCGACGTTTTCCTCAACGAGAGTCTGCTTTGTGTCCGCGAAGAACTCGGGTTTCTGAGAATTTCGATTTTCGTCCAATTTCGTTTCGGAATAATGCGCTCTGCCCATCGCACCGTCCATGCAGACGAAGAATTCAGAGAATAGACCTTTTTTAAACGTGATTTTCTCCTGCACAGCTGTCGAAGACTGCAAATTGTGGGCCATAGAGCGACAATGCTTCCAGACGATCATGATGAGGAGCGGCTTGACTCGTCAAGCAGAATATGCCGACTTCTTGAAAAGGTATGAGTAAATATTCCAATCCACAGATCGTTTATGACCGTGGTATGGCTCGTCTTCGAGATGAAATAGCGAAGGAGGAAGGTAGACGCCGGCTCATCGACCTTCGTTGATTCCCTTCCTCCTACCGACACAAAATCGAAATCGCGAGTTCGTGACCGAAGGCACCGAGTGAATTCTGAGAGTGCAATCATTGGAGTAGCATGCTTCCAGCTCTCCCGCCAGTCGCAACCGTTCCAGGTGTTACCGAGGGTGACTCATCTCGGGTCTATCAGTCCACAAAACGAGCGAACGGAACTTTCGATTTCCGTCTCCTCGCTCATTTTCTCAACGACCTATGAATTCCGCAGCGTTCCGGCATTCGCAAACTTGCCTGAGGAGACTTTGTGGAAGATTTCCGATGTTCTCGAGGACGCTAATTACAACAAGGGCGACTGCATCATCCGCCAAGGCGCCAAGGGCGATACGTTTTTCATTATAAGCAGGTTAGTAATTCGTCTTCTAGCGGTTGAGGAGTGTTGCTGGTGGAGAGCAGTGCGGAGGGAATGTCGGAATTCCTTCGACGGAAAACTTCATCGAGTGATCGAAAGCATCCCGGAAGTCAGCGCGTTTTCCCCCTGTCAAGTTTTCCCCCTCAACAGGGAAATGGATACGAAGCGTAGCGAATCCAGTTCCTCTCGCGCCGCTTGACCATTGACTGCTCGTAATGCTTAGCGGGGTTCCGTCTGAATACGAGTACCCGTCATCGAACTGTCGTTTGAGAGTAACCACGTCACAAACTTTCTCGACTGTATCGCGCGACAGTTCTCAATTGTAACCGAAATATCCTCTCTCCTGTTGGAATTACCAAAATATCCTCGTAATCTCGCTGCCCATTCCACGCATGCACTCCTCGCTCACCAGTCCAGTCAGACGCGAGAGATGACGCAATCGTCGGAGCCACTCCGTCTAGCATGAGCGATCTTGGAGGTGCTTGAGATAGACTGGTGCTCTTCCGGCGTTTTCCCTTCCTGGAGGACAATTTTTGCGCTTGCGTGAATAGTTGAAGCGCGATAAAATTCTAACACGTTGACGATTTTCATCGACAGGGGTACCGTTAAAGTGACACGCAAGGATGACAGCGGTCAAGAGACCTTCATAAGAACCTTGCAGCGTGGAGAGTTCTTTGGTGAGTATTTAATCGCCATCTCGGCGTTCACGGAGCATACGGAAGGAAACTTACTGACCTATTTACTGCTCGCTCTGCCGAAGCATCCGCGGGCCACCGCCACCAACTCGATTATAGTGGACGCTCGACTCCTACGGCAAAACAACGGAGCGTCTGTTCCAAAATGCTCCCCTTTAGCTCTATCGCCTTCGTCCTCCTCATTTTTTTTGTTGATGCCAGAGCAGTTCATTGATCGTAGAGGCACTCGAGAGTATGGCGATCCCAGTATTTCTCGATCTCCAGTTCCTCCGATTCAAAATCAGTGGCTCGGCTTTGTGGTGTGTGTGTTCTTTCCGCGATTCGGAAGCAAACGCTTTCGCCCGGTGCAATATTGAGTCCAGTCGCATTTGAACCAGAACCAACTGGTGGAGCCTCGAGGCCATTGGTCCACATCGTCTTTTGTGGCTTCCTGGTTCCGATTTCATCGGATAATCGAAGTTGGTTTCTCCCGGTTCACCGACTCGGACAACCCACTGTGTGTACTTCAGCGGAAGCTGTACTCTCGAATGTGCAACAATACAGGATATTACTCAACGTGGTTACCCTCCTCCTCGAGAAAAAAGGCCGAACGAGAGCTATGACATGATGATACGTAGGTGACCGAAATGAACTTCGGATTCCTCGTAGCCGAGTGCCGCCTGTAAGATGTTGTTAATGCCCCATTTCAGGTGAAAAAGCGCTGCAATCCGAGGATGTACGCACTGCGAGCATCACCGCCGATTCAGACTCCGTGGGATGCCTTGTTATCGACCGTGAATCTTTCAATCAACTCATGTCAAATATCGATGCTATCAAAGCGAACAGTTACCAGGACGATGTTGACAACAACGGAGTTCGTAAGAAGATCGACAATGAATTCAAAGACTTAGTCTTGAGTGACCTCCGAGTGGTCGCCACCATCGGCGTCGGAGGTTTCGGCAGGGTGAGCGGAACTATACTTCCCTCCACGGAATAATTCGCGTTTCCTCGGAGAACGCGAAGGAATATGAAGCGCTCCGCTCAGCCGTCTGTTTAATGACGTCGTCGGGGTCACGACTTGATGCCAATGAACTGAGCCGTATTTCTCGCTTCTCAGGTTGAACTCGTCCAGCCCGTCAACGATCCGAGTCGATCGTTTGCTCTCAAAGTCATGAAGAAAGCGCAAATTGTGGAAACTCGACAACAGCAGCACATCATGTCCGAAAAGCAGATCCTGGTCGAGACTAACTGCGATTTCGTGATTAAGCTGTACAAGACGTTCAAAGACACAAAGTATCTCTACATGCTCCTTGAAGCGTGCCTCGGTGGAGAACTGTGGACGATCTTGCGGGACCGTGGCAATTTCGACGACTCCACAACACGCTTCTACACAGCGTGTGTTCTGGAGGCGTTCGACTATCTTCACTCGCGTAATATCATTTACCGAGACCTGAAGCCCGAGAACATGCTTCTCGACCAACGAGGCTACATTAAAGTAAGCAGAACCTCAAATCTCATGAGGTAGATCACGGGACCTTCGGTTTCAATCAGAACTCGTCCAAATTCCGGTACCCTGAATTTCGCTAAGTTCCACTCTTTCCTGTCTCAGCTTGTGGATTTCGGCTTCGCAAAGAAACTGACATCAGGAAGGAAAACGTGGACCTTCTGCGGCACTCCGGAATACGTCGCACCAGAAGTCATCTTGAATCGTGGTCATGATATTTCAGGTGAGCTCAGAAATATTTATTCGCGCCGACTTCTCCTCCTGAGGCCGGATGGGATTGCTTTTGGCATCATCGACGATTTCCGTGATGTCGCTCTCGAGCGGAGGGCCCGCCTTGAATATTTCCGAATCTGAAAATTCTGTCGTTTTCAGCCGACTACTGGTCACTGGGCGTTCTCATGTTCGAGCTGCTCACGGGAGCTCCGCCCTTCACCGACTCAGACTTCATGAAGACATACAATATCATCTTGAAAGGCATCGACGCAATCGACTTCCCTCGCTGCATCTCACGCAATGCGCAGGCTCTCATCAAGAAACTCTGCCGCGACAACCCGAACGAACGTCTTGGAGCTGGCGGCGGAGGCATCTCCGACATCCGGAAGCACAAGTGGTTTGAAGGCTTCAATTGGGAGGGACTAAAACAACGAACCCTACAGGCTCCTCTCGTGCCACAGATCCAACACGTCACAGATACCCGAAACTTCGACCAATATCCGCCGGACGCGGAGGGTCCACCGCCCGATGATGTGACGGGTTGGGACGCAGATTTCTGAGGAATCGTCCCGGATTCGTTGTCAGCCCAGTTCTGTTGACGCGGCATTGTTTTGAAATCGAGCGGCAGTGGATTGGGGTTTCTGTGTCTCTTCAAGTGCAAACAATGCTCATCATACTCGTCGACGCTTCGAGCAGACAGTTGTTCCACTTGTCTGACGGAAAACAGGCGGGAGACGCAGCCGCTGCGTGCGTGTCCATGCGCACGGCATCAGGACAAAGTTGCCAGTCAAGCATCGACAGGAGATCATTCCCCATAAGCCAGTGCATATAGAGCCAAGTTATACAAGTTAAACCAAAAATAATGATAACGATGTTTATTACCCAGTGGTCTTTATTCTCTTTTATCCGCCCTCTGAGTGTTCCCCGGGAGGAATCCCGAGATCCGACGCAGGGACTCGGATGATGGCTCGGACTTACTTCTTTCGAGTCCGGAAAGGATATCGGCAGCCCCGTCCGCTCCTGCTTAGTGCAACGTCGCTAGTTTTCCTCTTCCTCGGGGCCCCACCGATCTCCTCTCCCGATCTCAAAACCAGCAATATGAGCGAGCTCCCGATCAAGCACCCTCCGCTCCTCCGCGGAAGAGCTAATCCGCTATCTCTGGAAAGAAAAATAGACGCAGTGATGCTGCTCGAGCCGCCATGATATCTGCGAGGTATTCCGCCCCATGTTCCATGAGAGAACCCAAACGCCGGCAGAACTCTATAGAAACTTGCGGCTCTCGCGTCATCGTCATCTCTGCCACCCTATCGCCATTTCTAGAATGTCTATGATCTCAGTCCTTCTTGAGCCAGTATCATAGACGATGGCGCTGGCGCAACGTTGGGGGAAGAGCGGGAGAGCCCCGTTCGGCATTTCGGAGCTTTGCATTCGAAGAAAACACCTGTGCTCTGATACCGTATCTCCAAATTGATATTGAGAGGAAGTTCATGTCCCGCCGCGATGCCGAATTTAGAATGGATATCGCGTCCGTCGAATGGTAATGATTGTTCGCGGACTCTCGCTATGGACTCGGGAAATTCCAAACGGCCCACGAAAGCCGGTGCTATCGAGTTCTGTACGGATTGGAGGATTCTTGCGAGTCGGCTTAGGGCGCGAATCGCTTCCTCCGATAAACCTGACTTCCCGTCCGATCTTCGCAAGGCGGGGACTCTCGATTTTCTTCCTTGGAATCGGAATTAGATGCCACCCGAGTACTCCGGGGTTCGATCCGTCTTTCCATCTCCGGGAGCGCCTTTGTCATCAGGCACCCCACGTCAAATACCGGTGTTTCTCTTCCCCCAGCAGCTAGCCTGGCAGGACAGGAAAGGGAACATGGAGAGGACGGTCCGACGGAGGATGCAGCGCACGTGAGAGGATACGAACGTTTCTGCTCCGGCTCAGTACGGTTCCTCGTCTGTCGATGAGACACCGCCGCGCGAAAGCGAAGTTTTGAACGGGAACGTGCACGCTCCGGTCGTGCAGGATACAGGAGTGTCCGGAAATTTCCGTGTCTTTCCGAATAACTGCCCCCCATGGTGTTCTGAAAAATCGTGCAAGTTCCATCGAAGGTCTCGAAACTCCTCCCAGGGAGCATGCATCTCTCGGAGTCAGGAGGATAGGAGTGTAGATTTTGTGCTCGTCCGAGTGGGGAATAGGTGCGACAAACCGCCAGCTTGCGGTGAGGAGGGGGAGAAGGACGAGCGGCGGCACGTAGTGTACTGGGGAGATGGCGGCTACGACAAGGAGCTGTAGTTTTCGAGTGGGATTGTTTCTGTTTGTCCTTTTTGGACAAACGCTTGTCGTTATACATGGGACCTTCACCGTCGAGCAACTGCTCACCTACCGTTTCCCGAATAAAACGTCAAACGACGTCGACTTGGACATCTGCAAACACTACCGTAAGTCTCCTTGATTAGATTACTCTACCGTCTTGCTGCCGCACAACAATCCCTTACCTTTTGGCAGAGTCAGTGCGGGTCATTTCGCCACGACTTGCTTCGTACCGCAGCTCGCTTTCGGGTCAGAGCGACGGAGAGCGAATTTCGTGCGACTGGGACGTTTTATCGTTCGGCACAAGCAAAAAGGTCTTCTGGGAAAAGCAGAGCACTGCCTGGTCGTTTGAATACAAACAGCTGATTGACGAGCCGGTCATGCGCGGACAATTCCCTGATTTATGGGACAAATAAAGCACTGACTCACATATCCCCTTATTTGTACTACGACCGAACTATATGCGACGCACAACATCTCATCGGACGAAGCCGCTCCGATGGTCCTCGAATTTCGCGGAGAGTCCCCATGTCTCGGAGTCCTCTGCGCGCTGCGCACAGACGGATAACCTGCGAACAGCGAGCTCTTGACACTCGGTGGTATCACTGGAGGCGTGGTGCATTAGCAAATGACGCCCAACCAATGGGAGAGTGGTAGCCTTTTTCCCGCGATATATTTGCTGATGGCCTTCGCGTTGCAATCATCCTGATGGCATCTCCGAAACAGGTAAACACTTCGATTGCCATCGTCGGTGCGGCTCGAACGCTGGTTCAGTACATCGTTCTGAGCTCGGCGAATGATCGAGGATGAACTCCGTGCGGCCGGCGTAGTTTCACCGTGTAAATGACAAAAACAGCCACATATTCGGCATCCAGCGAGTTGTGCTGATGACGCTCCATTTTCCTCGACGGAGGAGTTGTCAAACTCTATGATCAGGCATCTCGGAGAAATCAGGAACTCGCTCCCGAAACCGGGAACCCCTCGCGATGAAATCGCGGGATTTTCGAGCGCGGATGAAAAAGTTTCCTCGAGTCTAGGAAAAATGATTCCCCTTGACCCCAAAACGAGCGAGACTGCCTCCGCGCTGTCTACTTAAGCTGCGATAGAAATGGATGGTGAATTCCTTAATACACAGCTGCTTTCGCCGGCGTTACGTGCAATCTGGAAGGGAGCGAGGAAACTTCAGTCGCCGAGTGTGGAACCGGGGTATCAGCCAGATCTAAGATCTTCTGTCTCTCCGGTTGTCTCCGCGCTCTTTGAAGGAAACGAGGGAGTAATGATTGAAAATGCAAATTTAATGATCCCCATTCACCGGAACCCTTCTCGACAGTCTATCGTCCTGGAGGACAGAGACGACGCCGAGGGGATAAGAGAGATGAAAAAGTACTCTTTCATATTGCGCGGAAACTTTGTCGTCAAATGGTCCTTTCGATAAAAGAAGGTGAGAATTTCAATATTTGAAGCCCTGCTCTCTGGGCTCGACGCGATGTGAGCCATTAAAAGAAGCCTTAATAGCTCTCCGGCTTCTCCTGGGTGGAAACTTCCTCCCCGAAAATTGCTCTTCCTCGCGGTCGTTCCTTTTTTCAGTCGCGACAGCAGCGGTCTAAAATATAAATCTTTTGAGGGGCAACTGTGAGTTACGACAGCGACGGAGGTGTCGACGACGACTTTTTCCTCTCCTGGCCGTTTTTTTTCGCGGAATACGATTTGCCTGCCCGCTGGCTCGCCGGACCGACGCGACGGTTTGCTGGCTGCGAGTCTAGTGCGGAACTGCCTGTTCCTCTCTTCATCAACAGATAGGAACGTGAGAGAGCTTTGAATGATTCCGCGATCGTATGGCTTTGCGGTAGAGTGTGCGAACCTTGCCTGATGGAGTGCCCCCGGGCCATTGATTCTGGAGTCGGCAGGAAAAAATGCTGGAGATTCCCAGTCAGTGGGGTCGATTGAGCTGACTGATTGTGAGGATTCGAATGGATCGGCACTCGATAACTTGACTCGTGGAGATGGCCGCGGAGTAGAAGACTTGTGTTCAGCCCGTAACGAAATCCGCCGTCATGAACAGCTCGTCTCTTCTCTCTCAAGCCATTCCACATCGGAGACCAGTTTGGATACATCCCGGCTCATTTTGATACGCCAGCGCCGTTGATGCTCCCGTTCCATATGTTTTCTCTCAGGTCTGTTCACGGATACGCTCAGTGTCAGACCCATCAATCTGAGTATCGATCGCTCCGACGGTTCATTTATTTATACGCCGCCGGTGTGTTTGTCTATTGGTCATCGGGGTAGCAAGCTGGCGTTCCGATCGCTGAGGAGCCGGATGGGCAGACCGCTCGTACGTCTCGGTCTGTCGGACCGGTACCAAGAGGCCCGAATATCCGAGACTATGCCATCCACAGTGGGAGCAGCCGGCCCTGAGTGTATTCCATGCCTCGGCTGATCACATCCATCATTCCCACGATGACATTCAAGCGAATGAGCTGGAGTTTTTCAAGTCTCGAGAGCCTCGTCATGGGTCTCTCCTGGAAACGGAGCTTGACATACGCGTTTGTTCACGAGAGAGTTGTACCACAACGACTCCTGCTCCTGAGTCGATCAAGCTGCACTGCTGACCTGTAGGATCAAAGATAGCCCGGATCGAGGGACATCGGGCGACGAAATATTCCATGCATGTTCTCCACCACCGAGAACTCGGCTGACGGGTGACCTGTTGGCTCGCTTGTAGCGCTCACCGGGGAGCGGCGTTTCCTTTGAGGGATTCTCTTACAGATCCGAATTATCCCACTTCCGGGTTCATATGGTGCTCGACACTCTGCGGAATCGAGAACACTACTTAGAATGCACTTCTGGGGGTTCATGTTGCTACGACCATCCCCCGGAACATTCCACGTCGATTATGGAGCGGAAGTAAACTTCCGAGCAGTTTATGGAGCGTTGCGACTGCACTCGAGAGGCTCCAGGAGTTTCGAAGTTCCTTCACCGTATTAGTCTTGCGAGCTCGTGGCTCCAAGCATGATGGTCAGAACTCGGGTTGAGAAAGCTTGCTGAACATCGCACCGAATGGAGTCGATCGGGCTCGGAGCATCGACTAGGAGCATTGGAAGAAAGGCCGTCGCATTGAGAAATTGTTCAGGGAGAATTTGCATATCCGCTCGGGGCGAGGTTAGAACTTCCGGCTTCATGGTGGTCCGGAGTTTTCCCGGACATGAAACGAGAAGATGAGGACGACAACTTGGGGAAAGAACGGGCGCGGAGAGGTAACCGGAGAAACTACGGTGGTCGCAGGAGGGGGAGAGACGAGAAAAACACTACTGTCTTCATTCGTTCTCCTGCTTTGTTCTTCTCAACTCTTCGGCCGCCGTTCATTCCTTCCTTGGTCGGCCGTCGCTCCGTTTTTTGGCCTCCTTCCCTTGTTTGAATTCGTTATCTGGGAGAGAAAAGAACCCCTCTCGGTTTCTCCTCAATCTGATCCTCGTTCCGTGAAGACGGATGTCACTTAGGATTCTTCCAAAGCAGACGACGACGTCCGCGCCGCTCCCCAGTGTCGAAGAGCGACTACGCGGAGACAGAG